AAATTGGTTCGCAGGGTGTCCAAACCCATGCGGACCCGGGCGCGGCGGGTCGCGCCGTCGGGCGATGTGAGTCGCGCGCGAGCGCGGCCGAGGTCGTCTCGGTGAAACGAGCGGAGCCGGCGCGCCGCGCGCGCGGACAGATGAACGAAACTCGTAACCTCAACGATCGTTCGTCGAGCGCGAGCGGCTACGATGATGTGTGATGTTCGTTCCGGGCTCTGCGGGGCGAGCTAGGCGGTGCCCGAGGGGCTCGACACTCGCGCCTCTCGTGCGCGGCCGTCAGTGGTCTTCAAACTGCAGGCGGTGCGGGCGCCGCAGCGCACGCACGAAGTCAAACAACACACACGATGTGACCTCGTACTCAAGTCCGAAACAACGTCCGTGCATGTGCGGGACGACATCGCCTCGCGCCCGATCGCGGCGCATCGCAACCGTCACTTTGGCCCTCGAAGGTCACGTTGAACGTCAACTTCGAGCCGCGTCTGATCGCCTCCCGTTCCACGCGAGGGGAGCTTTCGGGCGCGCGACGGAGGCGCAGCAGAGGCCTCTCTGGCCCAGTCCCCGCACCTCCGCCCAATATGGCATATTTTCCCGCATCTACCTGCTTTCCATAGCCCTCCTCCCCGTGTAAAACGAGACGGACAGTTATTGCGTGCGCGAAGCTTTAGCTGTGGTTATCATTCGCCCTCTTCCCTGGGCTCCAGGGAGCCTCTGGGGGGCCACTACGAGGGGGCGCGAGGGCTTTCCGTGCCGATGTTTGCCCTTCAAGCGGGCATCGCTGCTCGGCCGCGACGCGCTGGTCGCGGCAATCTGCGGACTCGACCCGCCGCCGCTTGCGCACGCGCCGACGCGCGGAGCACTGCACACGTCACCGGACGCTGCGCGAGCGCCGCGCGTCGCAGCCGTCGCGAGCGCCGCGCGTCGCAGCCGTCGCGAGCGCCGCGCGTCGCAGCCGTCGCGAGCGCGCGCGTCGCAGCTGTCGCGAGCGCCGCGCGTCGCAGCCGCCGCGACGCCGGCGCCGGCGGCCGTCGCACCATGCTGCGGCGCCTGCTGCTCGTCGCCCTGGCCGCCGTGGCCAAGGAGACGGACTTTTACAAGCTGCTGAAGATCGACAAGAGTTTCAACGAGAAGCAGCTCAAGAGCGCCTACCGCGAGGCCGCGAAGAAGACCACC